TTTCTTCTGTACTGCAGCAGTTCTTCACGTGGTATCCAGGTGGCTCTTTCAAACGTGCAGTCTATCTCTGGAGGCGTGTCCTTGTTGGGTAAAAGCCTTTTTAAGATTGGTGAGGTGGCGATCCCGGGTGTTCTCTTCAGTACCTCATCACCAGAAGCAAAACTTCTTCAAGCCCAGAGCACACCAAAAGGATCCAGAGCGTGCCATGACAAGAAATGCAAAACCTGCCAACACATCTCCACCACCCCCACTATTACTACACCTCACAACAGAGCCATCAGCATCCCAGGATCTTACAGCTGCACCTCCAGAAATGTAATATACCTCATCCAATGCACCAAATGCCCTGATGGAAAATATGTAGGAGAGACCAAACAACAACTGCACACCAGAATGAATGCACACCGGAAATCTATCAAAGACAAAAATACCCAATTACCGGTGGGGGCACATTTCTCACAGGAGGGCCACTCTCTCTCCAATCTCTCAGTCCTGATCCTCAAGGGAAACTTACACAACACTTCCCAGAGACGAGCCTATGAACTCCATGTCATCAACCTCCTGGATACTAGAGATCATGGACTAAATATAGACATTGGATTTTTGACACATTATAATGTGCCTGGCAACTGACTCCCCAGCCCAGCCCCTGGCTTCTTTACTTTTCATTCCATCCAGGAAGAGCACACACCAACTGCTGAAACTTCCTTAGCCTGATGAAGGGTTTTGGAACCCGAAAGCTTGCTTAATAACTATTCTCCAACTATTTGGGTTGGTCTAATAAAAGATATCAAATTCACCCAAGGAACCTTGTCTGCCTACCTAAGTGATAACCATTATCATCTGCAAGGCATGGATGTGACTGTAGGGGAGGTCGGAAGCCACAACATTATCTCTTAAGGCAACAAGTGCATCAGAGCATGATCAGGCCAGGAGGGCCCCACCTAGAAACTAAAAGCAGGGCAGGTATCAGCAGGGTTTGGAGGAACCCACTGACTAAGCAGACAAGGGCTTGCTTCAGGACCTGGGGGCAGCCTCCCTTCTCATGAACCAGTATCTACATCAAGGTGTGGCAGGAAGGAGAAGAGGGAGGGTACCTAAGGAGTTCAAGCAGGACAGGAGCTACATGGCCACCAGGGGGCATCATGGTTGTTCCTGGGGCCCAGCACCTGTTACAACTCATGAGTCATGTGCAGGGCCCTAAGAACATTGCAATTTTGGACTGTGTGGAAATTTGCCCCCCACTGCAATTTTTAAGGGTTGTGAGCATAGTGAGGGCTAATGGGTCTTATCCCCCCCCAAATGCAGGGCAGCACAGAGGGCTGCAAGGCAGCCCAGACATGGGCTCTGGGAGGCTTCAGTGGCAGGGAGGGGCACACATAGACAGACATGGAGCCTGTACGCAGCCAGGATGGCAGCCAGAAGGTGTGCAGAACACTGCCCACCACAGCAGGTAAGTTAGAGAAGGGGAAGGGGAAGGGGCATGAGGGAGCAGATCACAGCTCCCACAGTGAGGGAGGGAGTGGGGCAGAAGCAGGGGCTGGGATAAGTGGGGCCCTGGGGCGGGTGGTGGGAGACTCAGAACCTGGGCAGCTTGTCCAGGGATACAGGGAGGCTCCTGCCACTGCTCGCACCTGAGGAGAGGCCCTGGGAGCACGTGCCCCTTGGATTTCTGTGTGGAGTGGAGGTGGGCTGCTGCTGTGGGCTGGATTTTGCACTCTGCTGCTAGTGCCTTGGGAGCCAGCTCTGGGAGACAGCAGCGGCAAGCACACGGCGTTGCACATGACAGCTGACTCCCAGGGCAGCAGCACACAGAGACCAGCCCAGAGCTGCAGCCTGCCTCTGCCCCATGCACAAACATGGGGAACACATGCTCCCTGGGCCTCTCCCAAGATGCACACAGTGGTGGGAGCCTCCCCACACTCTTAGATGAGCTGCCCAGGCTCTGTGCATCCCACCACCTGCCCCAGGGCCATATTCACCCCAGCTCCTGCCTTTGCTGCACTCCCTCCCTCACTGTGGGGGCCCTGATCTGTTCCCTCTTGCCCCTTCCCTTTCCCTAACATACCTGCTCTGCATGCCAACCGGCTGAAGTCCCGGCTGTGTGCAGGCTCCGTGTCTGTCTGCGCACAACCCCCCTGCCACTGCTGCAGCCACCCAGAGTCCTCGCCTGGGCTGCTCTGCAGCCCTCTGCACTGCCCCACATTTGGGGGAAAAGTAAGCTCCATTAGCCCTGGCCTTCTGCCGCCTATGGCTGTGTGCCTGCCTGCTGCGTGTGTGCAGGTAAAGTATCTTTTCTCATGGAATATTCATGGAAGTATTTGCCAACCCATTTACCAAGATCAATGGTAGTTCTGTGAATATTCTATGAAAAGGGATACTTTACCTGTGCATGTGCCATGAATCTTCAACAAGAAATCTGTGAATTTCTCAGGGCCCTAAATCATGTGCATGTTTAGAAGTCCTTTAACATTAACAAGGAAGTACAGAGAGCATAGATGGATTAAAAGAACTTCCTATAGGAAGAATATGCTGAGTCTCATTCCTGCACTTGGATCATAAAACTTTCCACTGAACCAATCAAATCTAGAGGAGGACTGCCATGCTTTCACAAGTGTTTCTCTTGCAGGATAGTCTGAGTTCTGTGCTGAGGACTGGATGAAAGTAGCAACACATCTTTTCTAGGAGGAGCCAGAGATCTGGAGTTGCATAACAGCAACATTTTTCCCCTGTGTAGAAGAGGAAAGTTCAAGCTGAAAAGGTAAGAAGCATAAATAAATACTCAAATACTCTTCTGCTGTTTTACTATGTAGCAGAACTCTCTACCTCTCCACCATATCCAAAGTGAGCTAGCCAAATAAATGGGAGTAAGGTGCCTAAGTGTGTTTGCACTAAAATGTTGAGAATACTACATGCCCTCAACTTGCAATCTCTTTTTTATTTATATCTTTATTTTCTAAATCTCTTTCCACTACCATATTATTGCTGTTTTGCTGTATCTCCAGCCACACACTAGTAATAGTATCCTTGTTTAGTTTACCACCTTTAATGCTAATCTGCAGATGGGCCAGGAGGGGGTGCTGCAATGCCAAGGGAGCCAGCACACTTTCCCTGGAGGCTTAACCTGCCACCCCCATGAGGCAGTTGGTTTCCAGTGACCTTGGGAAGGATTGCATCAAGATTTCTCTCAAAGCTTGTTATGAATTTTATAAGCATGACAAATTCTTAGAACAATTCTCTTCAGCACAGTTCTTTTAGACACAGTCATGAAGTTTGTCATTAGCAGCTCTTTTTCCACCTCCCTCGGAGTCTGGCACCGCCTCTCCTATCATCACATACTGTTCTGTGTTGCCCTTTGCCTGTACTTCCAATAGTGAAGGCAATGCACACAAAAAGGCACAGTCTTCCCCCCAGCATACAATGATTGTTGTGTTAGAGACAAAATAACTTCTGTCTCTTGTGTCTCTCATTTGAAATTGTCTTCCTTCTTTAGTGATATCATTGCATTTAATGGAGCAATAAGCCAGCCCCCATCAAACAAGGAGAGCAGTAGAGATTAATTATCTTACAAATATTTTGAAGAGTTGAGTAGTTCACCCATTTGTGCTGCTCCATTTCCCATGTTTTCCACTGAAAGAGCAAGCTGCTGTCTAAATTGATGACATCTTTTTCAGCTGAGACCAGCTTAATCTATTTTTGCATTCTTCAGAAGGGAGCTGTCCTTGTTATCTGTTCCTTGTAGGTTCTGCAGTTCTGTTGTAACAATGTTACTTTTCTAAAAATACAGCAATGGTAATATGCTGATAGCCAGAGCTGTTGGCTTGGCAGCATCAGAGAATGAACTTCTTTTCTATTTAAATGATTGGAATGGCAAGAGTGCTACACTAGTTGTTTAAGGGAGTGGTTTCAAAATGTGTTCTGCGGTGCATCAGCAGGGGTTCTGCAAAGAGATTTGGCGTAATGGCAGGGTGGGCTGGGAGGTGGTGAACCACCATTACTGTTCAATGACCACCTGGATCCATATCAGCTCATGCAGCTTGCAGAGCCAGGGGTAGGAGTTCTGCAGCAGAAGTGATATGAAAGGGTTTCAAAATTTTAGGACGTTTGAAAACCTTAAGGCATCTCTCAGTGGATATGAAGATGTAAATTTGAGCTTTGCTCTGGGCCTCTTCTGAAGGCTGCTCTCAGCTGTCAGTGGGTGACAGGTCATTTGAGTTGGGGAGTCAAAGCTGCCTGGATGTGCTAATGGCCACATTACTCTTGTTCGTGTTTTTTGGCTAAAGAAACCAAGTTGCTTTAACCATACTAACCTGCTGGGCTCAATTCTGACCTTCGACCCTTTTTGACAGGTCAGGTAATGATCAAACAAGCATATAAATTTAAAACATATTACACCATACTAGACCACCATCTATTCCAGTATTTTCAACAGTGGCAAATACCAGATGCTTTACAGCAAACTGTATCTCTCTCTTTCTGGAATATATATTTACAATACCATCTCTGGAAGCTAAATTTCTACACAGCTATCTCCTTACTTATGTCTGGCGAGACTGTCTGTGAAAGAAGAGAGTTGTTCCATCCTTGGCCTCTCTAGCTGAACATGCCCTTGATGGCACAGTTAAGATGGCAATATATGAAATGGAGACCTTTGCCTACTAAAACATAGATTGGGTCTCAACGTATTATTCTTTAGCTATACTGTCATGTGACTCCTGATCTTAAAACCAGGCCTCAAGTGCAAGAGTGGCTGGTCTTTCCAGGACACGCAGCTGGTGCATGTCACTGAGGGCTAGGAACAGCTTCTTTACCTGAGTGCAAATGTTTAGAAAACAAAAGGCGGGGGAATTAAAACAAAGGTATTTAGTCAGAAACAAATAACGTAATGCTTCAGGAGGCTACAGATACTCTTCCTAGCACTGCCTTAATTTTCTGATACTTATTTTCATTAAATCTTTTAAAAATAACAGAACAAAGACCAAGCTACCAAACCAGTCAGTTGAAAATCCTAAAGAAATCCAAGGAACAAACAAACAAAAAAACTCCCCAAAACTCCCAAAATGGAATTGAGAGAATAGATAGACATGGATCTGGAATTATCTTTTTCCTGTGTTTGATATTAGAGCAATGGTGGCCAGCGTACATCACCTAGCCTTCCTTCAGCTAGCCTTTTTGTGCAGCCCAGACCTGTAGGATTCAAGGGAAGACTACTCATGAATATGGAACACAAGAATACCCACAGTTATTCTAATGAATATCTAAAAAAAATAGAATTTTGGGAAGACTATAAGCACTAGTTTAGAGCAAAGTCTAACATCTGGGGGCTGGGAGGGGACAATATGCCTCATAGCTGTCTACTGCAGAATTTCTCTTTGAAGAAGTTGGTATCTACCATGATCAGAAGAAGGTTACTGGATGGATGAACTGCTGGGTTGATGCAGCATGGCAACTCCTATGGTCTAGAGCAGGGGTTGGCTAACCTTTTAGAAGCAGGAAACCAAATTAACATAGTTCATTCTGAAGGTAGGTGGCTACTCCCCTTGCAAGGATTGCACACAACCTAGCTGCTGCCCTACATCAGAAAATTGCCATCAGTGTTGTGGCATCAGGGATTGGATGACATTGCTTGGCAGGCCAGATCTGGTGTTTGGGCTATAGGTTACTGAACGTTGGTCTAGAAAGATTTTCAGAGAAAGAAGGATAGCAGTAATGCTGTGGCAGTAGCTGATACCTTCTTCTTCATGGGAAGACATGCATACATGTTCCATAAGGCAAGCTTTGGCTCTTGGTTTGCATCTTATTTTGTCATTACAAGCAATAACTGCTGTTCAGGTTTAAAGGGCACCATAATATCCCAGTAGCATTACTGAGGGAGGTGGGGGGGATGGCAACTAGAACAATAGCCCTGGGCACTGCCTTTTGTTTGGGGTGGGGAGGAAAGGGGAAAAAGCAAGAGCAGATGCTGCCACAATGTCAGCTGACTGCAGCTGCCTTGGGTTATTAATACTACACCCTTCTACACCTCTGGAATATCCTTTTATCTGAGCCATAAAAGATAAACCTGTTATGCAGTGGGTTCAGAGAGACCTAGATAAACTGGTGGATTGGACCAAAAGAAAGCTTGTGAGGTTCAATAAGGACAATTGCAAAGTCCTGCACTTATGACAAAACAATCTCATGCACCAGTACAGGCTGGGGACTGACTGGCTAAGCAGCAGTTCTGCAGCAAAGTGATGACTAGAAAATGGTATTTAGAGGTTTGCTTTTGGGAATTGGCTTGTAGCTAAAGTAGATATTGCTTTAGAACAGTGGTCCAGAGGTATGGCAAAGGTTAACTGATTTCTAAAAGCCTGTTTGTGACAAAGTTTCCTTCAAGGCCCACTGTGTCTGATACAGGCAAGCAGCAAGCAGACACACAGGCTGGGAAAGTGAAGGCATATATATTACATTATTCCATAACAGAGATAAGGGACACTGCAACATTGGCACCAGGTCACATGGCCCACTGCAGAGCCCTTGGGATTTCTGGTTTTGGTAAACAGATCAAATTAGGAGGACAACAGAAATAATCAAATTAGGATACATGCATGTGATAGATTTGTGAAACAAAGGATTATGCTGACAGGACAGAATGTAGGCAGTATAATGACCACAGTGAGACCAATCAGCAATGCCCAGAGATGAAGAATCATCAGAGGGGATAAAGAATGCAAAAGGAGGGATTTCAGATCAGCAAAGAGTCCCTGATAGAGGAACCTGAGGCTACCATGGACAGAGGGTACACCACCAGCCTGTTTTACCCACCCTACTGTGGATGAGGTGGGCTTGGCCTCTGCCCTCCCAGTTGCTGACACCTGACATGCAAGAGAGCACCTCAGAGTGAAGTTCACGTACTGGCTAGAGATACCTTGACCATGTGAACTCTGGGACTGGTAGATACAGAATGGTTTCCATTATTCTTATCTACTATCACTGTGTATCAATACATTTTGCCTATTATTGAATGGAGAGGTTGTGGTTGGTCTGAGGATTTGGGTCCACCTGAAACAAGGTATCTGGGTCATAAATCCAGTGCCAACACAAAGGACCTGGGGCTATAGTAGACAAGAAGTCGAATATGAGCCAACAGTGTGCTGTTGGTGTGAAGACAGTTAGTGGCATACTAGGCTGCATTAGTAGGAGCATTGCCAGCAGATTGAGGGAAATGATTATTCCCCTCTGGTCAGCACTGGTGAGACCACATATGGAGTAATGTGTCCAGTTTTGGGGGCTCCACTACAGAAAGGATGTGGACAAATTGGAGAGAGTCCAGTGGAGGGCAGTGAAAATGTTTAGGGGTTTGGGGCACATGACTTATGAAGACAGGCCTAGGGGGAAAAAACTGGGGTTATTTAGTTTGGAAAAGAGAAGACTGAGAGGGGATTTAATAGCAGGCTTCAACTACATAAAGGATGGTTCCAGAGGATGGAGCTAGACTGTTTTCAGTGGTGGCAGATGACAGAACAAGGAGCAATGGTCTCAATTCATAGCAAGGAAAGTTTAGGTTAGATATTAGGAAAAACTCTCACTGGGAGGGTAGTAAAGCATTGAAACAGGTTACCCGGAAAAGTAGTGGAATCTCCATTCTTGGAGGCTTTGGAACCCTGCTAGACAAAGTCTTGCCTGGGATGATCTAGTTGAGGACAGTCCTGCTTTGAGCAGGGGGTTGGACTAGATGACCTCCTGAGGTCCCTTCCATCCCTAATTTTCTATGATGCTATTATTCAATTTTTCCCCCACAGTTAGTAATTAGATCCTTCCTCCCTTCCCTTAGTCTGTAGCCTAGTTTTTCTAAACATATTATGGTTTGCACTATAGAAAGCCCTGAAAAAAATCTTCAAATAGGAGAAAAAACAATGTACCTCTTCAATCTATACCACGTTTCTGAATGCTTAGTAGATGTTAGTACTAAGAACTCTGTTTGGCTGGTGAATTTTGATTTTTAACTGTCATACTGCATTGGTGCCTGCATCAAATGCACAGATTTATTTTCCTGTATTATATAGATTGCAATAATTACTAATAATATCCCCATTTATCCTAGAACTGTGATTGCAGTAACTTCAACTTCTTCTTTCTGCAACATTTCTGCTATAAAATCTATAGATGGCACAAGTTTTACTTCTTTCTTCACCTGTACTATCTTATAAATAAAATTAATGATTCATCAAATTAAAGTTCTATCTGTTTTTGCTCTGTACATGCTGTGCCTATTTTTTTAATGTAAGCTTTTGCCTTTTGCTGTGTACATGCTGTGCATATTCTTTTAATGTAAGCCTTTGTCCTTGTGCTAATAAACCAGGCATATATTTCACTATACAATTAATATCTCCTTGCCAACCTGGGGTCATTGGTTGAAGTAAGAAAAATAAAGACCAACTCTTCTGTTTAATTTTAATAGGAGCTATGTTATTAACTTGAAAGGCATGGGTGAACTAAGGTCCCATCCCTAATTTGTAAATGCTAGACGAACAACATGCAGAGATTGCTAGAATCCAGATTACCCCACAAGCAGCTGCATGTTGTATTAGGTGTTTGGTGTTTGGACTGATTTCACCATGTAATAACCTTTGTTGGCCTACGTGCCCAGGTAGAAATAGCACAGCATGAGAAAGGATAATGACATGAGAATTAAGTATATTGAATTGATTGAGGTTATTGAGCTTATTCAGGAAGCTGATCTAATGTTTTATTGTAAGGGAATAAGAAAAGATCCCAATAACCTAGGAAATAATTATCAATTAGCAAAAGAAGCAGCAGTCATTAGAACCCCTTGAGGATTGTAGATACAGAGGAACTAGGTGTCCAGTCAACTCAAGTGCCAGGGCCAAGCATTCCAAGAAAGATTAAAATCCCAGGCACAAGCTCAGTGTCTGACCTAAGTTTTTCCCTGAAAAAGCAACAGCACATTTAGGAATAGTGGAAGCCTAAGCACAAGAAAAAGCTAAATACTATTTAAAAAAAAATAGATGATTCTGAAACTCACCTTCTTAGCACTAAAGAATAAAAGATATTCCTGAGTTGAAAATGTTACTTGATCAAAAAATGATGTTACAGCTAAACAAGGGTTTATTAGTCTATATTCATGAGTGTGACGTGTGGGGCTGAGTCTCAAGTCGGCTTTCCTGCCTGTCTACGTAGGGCAGTCCACCTAGTCTCACCTGCCATGACTTTGCTGTTCCCATAACTGGTAGTATAATGTGGAAGGCTGCCCATTACATGCCCCAATGCCAGGGTGTGCTAACCACGGCTCCATACCTTCCCTGGCCCATGCCCCGCAGATAGCATCCAAAATGTAATCATATCCCGACCCCTAACTCTGGCCTCTCTCATTGGGCTCCACACCCCTCACTCATACTGGGCTCCTTGCCCCCCACCCCGCCCCACAGTCAGGGCTCCTAGCCTCTGGGCTCCTTGCCTCTCACTAGGCTCCATGCCCTTTCCCAAACTCTGGGCTCCTTGCCCCTCATTCGCTCTGGGTACCCTGCCTCACTCTGGACCCCCTTGCTCCTGCCAACCTCCTTGCTGGGTTACCCACTAACCCACTAGGTTGTTGGGGCTTGGGTTATAAGGCACCCTCCCCTGCCTTTCACTGGCATGGTAACTTGCCTGGAATTTTTTGGGGGTTCCCTCACCACAGAGAGCCCCACCAGGCCACCAATCCCTGGCAGGGTGCAGTTTTAGGTAATGCCCAGGACCAATGAGGCTTCCTCCTTCCCCATAGCCTCACCCTCACCTCCAAGGTGTTCCTGGAGCAGCTCAGCCCAATGTTGCCTCCTTGGCTGCTCAACACAGACTGCTGCCTCTCTGGCCTGTGTTTGAAAATGGCCGCCCTAGTGAGGCACCTGGCAGCTGCCTGCTCCTGCCCTTAAAGTGACAGGCACCAAAGGTGCACTGCCACAATGAGACAGATCAAAAAGTCACTTGGAGTAGTACTTTGAGAATAAGGAAGCATCATGCCTCAGTGTGCCCCAACAGAACCTTTTGCAGGGTATTATGAAGCTACTGTCAAACTCCGTGAGGAGCCTATTGGCCCAAAATACAAAAAGATGTGCAAATCAAGAGAAAAGGTGCCTCACCTGTAGCATGTTCCAACCATTATGACATACACCTTTACAAAAAAAACAGCTTTGCCTGGGACTGATTTCAACAAGGATTGCATAGGTGTGCTGCTTAAATCTAAGTATCTCCTTAATAGTTTTACTCTTTATTAAGTTTCTGGAATGCCTCATTGCACCTAATAACACAACAGAAAGAACTGCAGCCATTCTTTAACAATATATTTTCAGGCCTGAAGGGCTCCAAGGACAGAGCTAGGACCTGAATCGAGGAGATGGTGGGCAGGGGTGGGGGGGGAGGGGGATGGAGGAAGAGCAGGCAGCTGCTGTGGCTCCCACTTCTCCTCCCCCTCCCCACCTTGTACTCAAATTGGAGATGAATGTTTTTTTTCCCCTCATGTTAAATGTGGGGGTGGGGAAACTTGCCTTGGATCCGAGTAAATGTGGTATCCCCTTTGAAATATGTTCTAAAATAATTCTTTACTCCTGAGGGCATTTGTTTTTTTGTGAGAGAGTTGCGTGAATGAGGTGTTTTCCTCTCGGACAACATTGTCAGGAGAAAGGTCAGCATTCCTTCTTGCCTGAGGCTGACCCAAAGAAGGGCAGAGGTTGAGACTTTGCTGCCTATCGCTCACCCCAGGTGCCCAGGAGAAGCCTGACAGAGATGATATGACCTAGTTCTAATGCACCAAAGACCATGTGACCTAAAGATGTAAACTATTGCTCCGGGCAACTTTGCTTTTACTTTTTGTGTTTTATTACAGGAGAGACACTTGATTTATTACTGATTTTCTTTACTGCTTATGGTATGAATGAGCATGTATATGTGCATTTGTATGTTTATTTATATGGTATTACATGTATGTGTAAATGTAAGGTATGTTATACCTTATATTGTGCTACATCATCATGGGTTGTAAAAGTGTGCTGTAGCTGTGTAGGCAGATAAGCAGCTGAGACAATGGCTACATGCAGCAGATCTAAGCTGCAGTGGGAAAGACCCAGCTGTCCATCAGCGCTAAAAGCGATATCTATGCAGGCTAGTGAGTCACCTGCCTCAGACAGGGCAGCACCCTGAGGTAGGTATACCAAACACCTTAAAGGGATGGGACCAGCAGCAGGGAGCTGGGCTCTCCAAGGAGAGTGACTTCATAAAAACTCCCGGGCAGATGCAGGAGCACTCTGTATGCAGAGAGCTGAGAGCCCCAGGAGATGAGGGCTGCTCAAGTGTTTATTTACCCAGCTGGGGAAGGTTTCACTTAAAAGTGGGAGATTGCTTTTATTCTGGTATAAACATTTACCCAATATGGGGACGTTTTTGTTAAAATGGTAGCTTGCCTTTTTGTTTCCAGTTTAACCAGAAGACCAGATGTGGCTAAAAGGGGTGAAGAGGAGACCACAGGGGTGCCTGAGAAGCACACTATTGAGCTCTGACAGGGGAAGGGGCATGAGCCACAGGAGTGCCTGAGGGCACAGAAGATCTTGAGTCTCCCAGGGCCAGGAACAAGACAGGAAGGTGGACTCCAAGAGGGTAAAAGCCTGAGCCAGGCAAGATAATACATGTATTAATAATGTATAGAGGTGGTCTGAGGCCAAGAGGGTCAGGGCTGGCAGCTGAGAAGAGCAATAGCAGAAAACTGAGGCCCGAAAAGGGTGATAGCAAGAGACAGGGGCCACAGGCCCAGAACAGGAGACCAGGGCTGGGGCCCAGGAGCTGGGGTCCAGGACCATGGGCCTTGTGCTAAGGGGGCCAAGCTAGAGGAACAGGACCAAGATTGAGAAGGCTGAAGCCCAACAAAGACTTTAAGATCAGAGGGGACAAATCTTGCAGTAGGGTAAGCTGCCCCACCAAGGTGATAACTGTCACGACCCAGTGATTTTTTGTGCCTTGGCACTATGGAATTTCCTGGCCACATGAGAGCTCCTTTGCACGGCAGAGTGTTCTGCTGCAATTGAGAGCCTGCGTGCAGGAGAGTTCCTGCCAATTTGCAGTTTCCTTTGCAGGATGCATTTCTTCTTTGCAGCACAGAGATGCACGGTGCAAAGAGTTCCCGCTATTCGGATGCAAATTTGTGCCCTGTTATTGGCCAGTGCTAAATTATTCACACGTGGTGGCTAGTAATTGGCTCGCTGGCCGTTTAAAATTCTGCGCGACTTCCGCCCAAGTCGAAGAGCTTTGAGCACGCTGCAGAGTGTCTCTGAAGTTATCTGACTTGCGGCTGCCGATCGATAGACTGATCACCTATCGATCTTTCTTCCCGTCACCGAG